CAGGCTTACAATCTTCACACTTAACGTCAGGCTTACAATCCTCACACTGAACGTCAGGCTTACAACCTTCACACTTAACGCCAGGTTTACATTCTTCACTCTCAACGTCAGGCTTACATTCTTCACTTTCAACGTCAGGCTTACATTCTTCACACTCAACGTCAGCCTTACATTCTTCACACTCAACGTCAAGATTACAATTTTCACACTTAACGTTAGGCTTACAATCTACACACTCAACGTCAGGCTTACAATCTTCACACTGACCGTCAGGCTTACAATCTTCACACTGAACGTCAGGCTTACAATTTTCACAATTAACGTCAGGCTTACATTCTTCACTCTCAACGTCAGGCTTCCAATCTTCACACTGAACGTCACGCTTACAATCTTCACACTTCACGTTAGGCTTACAAACTTCACTTCTCAACGTCAGGCTTCCAATCTTCACACTCAACGTCAGGCTTACTATCTTCACATCTTAATGTCAGGCTTACACTCTTCATTTCTCTACGTCAGGCTTACCATCTTCACACTCAACGTCAGGCTTACAATCTTCAGACTCAACGTCAACGTCAGGCTTCCAATCTTCACACTCAACGTCAGGCTTACACTGTTCACTTCTCAATGTCAGGCTTACACTGTTCACTTCTCAACGTCAGGCTTACATTCTTCACACTCAACGTCAGGCTTACCATCTTCACACTCAACGTAAGGCTTACAATCTTCACACTCAGCGTCAGGCTTACATTTTTCACTTCTCAACGTCAGGCTTACACTGTTCACTTCTCAACGTCAGGCTTACAATCTTCACACTCAACGTCAGGCTTACACTGTTCACTTCTCAAAGTCAGGCTTACACTGTTCACTTCTCAATGTCAGGCTTACACTGTTCACTTCTACGTCAGGCTTACATTCTTCACACTCAACGTCAGGCTTACAATCTTCACACTCAACGTCAGGCTTACAATCTTCAATTCTCAACCTCAGGCTTACAATCTTCAGACTCAACGTCAGGCTTACACTGTTCAATTCTCAACGTCAGGCTTACAATCTTCACACTCAACGTCAGGCTTCCAATCTTCACACTCAACCTCAAGCTTACAATGTTCACTTTCCAGCGTCAGGCTTACAATCTTCACACTCAACGCCAGGCTTCCACTGTTCAATTCTCAACGTCAGGCTTACCATCTTCACACCCAACGTCAGACTTACAATCTGCACACTCAACGTCAGGCATACAATGTTCGCTTCTAACCGTCAGGCTTACAATCTCACTTTTAAACGTCAGGCTGACAATCTTTACACTCAACGTCAGGCTTTCAATGTTCACTTCTCAACGTCATGCTTCCAATCTTCACACTCAACTTCAAGCTTACAATCAATCTTCACATCTCAACGTCAGGCTTACAATCTTCACACTCAACGTTAGGCTTACACTGTTCACTTCGCAACGTCAGGCTTACACTCTTCACTTCTCAACGTCAGGCTTACACTGTTCAATTCTCAACGTCAGGCTTCCAATCTTCACACTCAACTTCAAGCTTACAATGTTCACTTTCCAACGTCAGGCTTACAATCTTAACACTCAACGTCAGGCTTACAATCTTCACTTTTCAACATCAGGCTTACAAGGATCACTTCCCAACGTCAGGCTTACAAACTTCACTTCTCAACGTCAGGCTTCCAATCTTCACACTCAACATCAGACTTACAATCTTCACACTTAACGTCAGGCTTACACTCTTCACACTCAACGTCAGGCTTCCAATCTTCACACTCAACATCAGACTTACAATCTTCACACTTAACGTCAGGCTTACACTCTTCCCACTCAACGTCAGGCTTCCAATCTTCACACTCAACTTCAAGCTTACAATGTTCCCTTTCCAACGTCAGGCTTACAATCTTAACACTCAACGTCAGGCTTCCAATCTTCACTTTTCAACATCAGGCTTACAAGGATCACTTCTCAATGTCAGGCTTACAAACTTCACTTCTCAACGTCAGGCTTCCAATATTCACACTCAACATCAGACTTACAATCTTCACACTTAACGTCAGGCTTACAATCTTCACACTGACCGTCAGGCTTACAATCTTCACACTTAACGCCAGGTTTACATTCTTCACTCTCAACGTCAGGCTTACATTCTTCACTTTCAACGTCAGGCTTTCATTCTTCACACTCAACGTCAGCCTTACATTCTTCACACTCAACGTCAAGCTTCACACTCAACGTCAGGCTTACAATCTTCACACTGACCGTCAGGCTTACAATCTTCACAGTTAACACCAGGTTGACATTCTTCACTCTCAACGTCAGGCTTACAATATTCACTTTCAACGTCAGGCTTTCATTCTTCCCACTCAACGTCAGCCTTACATTCTTCACACTCAACGTCAAGCTTCACACTCAACGTCAGGCTTACAATCTGCACACTGAACGTCAGGCTTACAATTTTCACAATTAACGTCAGGCTTACTATCTTCACATCTTAATGTCAGGCTTACACTTTTCATTTCTCTACGGNTCTTCACACTCAACGTCAGGCTTACAATCTTCACACTCAACGTCAGGCTTACACTGTTCACTTCTCAATATCAGGCTTACACTGTTCAATTCTCAACGTCAGGCTTACAATCTTCACTTTTCAACGTCAGGCTTACAATCTTCACACTCAACGTCAAATTTACATTCTTAACACTCAACGTCAGGCATACAATGTTCACTGCTCAACGTCCGGCTTACAATCTTCTCTTTTAACGTCAGGCTTACAATCTTCAGACTCAACGTCAGGCTTACAATGTTCCCTTCTCAACGTCAGGCTTACAATCTTCACACTTAATCTTCACACTCAACGTCAGGCTTACACTGTTCACTTCTCAATATCAGGCTTACACTGTTCAATTCTCAACGTCAGGCTTACAACCTTCACTTTTCAACGTCAGGCTTACAATCTTCTTCACACTCAACGTCAGGCTTACAATCATCACTTTTAAACGTCAGACTTACAATCTTCACACTCAACGTCAGGCGTACAATCTTCACTTTTCAACGTCGGGCTTAG